TTTTTATTAACATGCTAAATATGTTTAATACAGAAGATAGAAAAAAAGGAAACAATAAATATTCCTTATAACACCAACTGACGCAATTAACACTAAGGGCGACCACCAAAATTATTTACGTCATAATACAGAACACGAATATCTGAATCTCAACTATGTAAATAAATTTATTAATAACCATAGGTTCCATTTAATGGATTGTACCTACATTTGTTTGGAAAACAATGATACGGAATGAAATTTAAACAATTACGTCCTTTGTCAAATCTTCACTTTGTCCTTTATTGTATTATGTCAATGAACGACATAATTTTGCATATTTTTATCAGAAACTTGTTCACCACAATAATTATGGTTACCAAACAATAGTTAACTGGGGTAATTTCCAACCATAAAGCAACACAAAGCAATCTTCCCATTCTCACATACCAATAAAGGTCGGCAAGTTAACTTCAGAATTCTGAGTTGACCTTTATGAAATCCTCACGTTCAAAGTTGGATAAGTACGAAAATCACTACAGCGAAAGGTCACGAACTTTTGAAAATTGAAGGGGTGATTACTAATTTTCTGTATATTTTACTTTAATAACGAATTGTCGGTATCTTAAACATAATCTACATCAATTGATGAATCTAATACGTTACGCCTCTTTACCGAAACTTATAAAATACATGAACAAACTAAAGAGTTGAACAAAATACAATCCGTCATCGTTAGGTACGTTAAAGAAACCTAATATTGAACATAACAATGTTTCGCATAATAATTTTGCACATAGTTATAAATGTCTTGTTTCCACTTAGAAATTTTTCTGCGGTTTTATACCAATTTTCTAATAAATTTTCCAAGTGGTTGGCCATCCCACTACTGGCGAGCGTGATGAGTAGTGATGACCTTTTCATAACGATTCTTGTTTACATCATGGGTAAAGATACAGTAACCCTTTGTCATTATGCAGTTTTTATTATTATGAATGATGTAATATATGAGGTACGTGACTTGGTTATTAATTAGACAACTAGAGTTATTAATCTCTGTAACAATGGATTTTTCTTTTATTTTCTATTTACTTAGACTGTTTGTATGAAATCTAATCATATTTTTTAGTTTTTCATGTGTGTTTCGTGGTCGTGGAAACGCTGTCTCATTAAAGTTGATATGACATTGATAAGAGCGCCTTCGCGGGGTTTATCAACGCCGGAGCGGAGGCGCGCTGCGCTTGGGCCGCAGTCGGCGGCTGGCTGCGGCCTTCCCAGGCCTCTCGCCGTCGCCTCATTAGCTCAAGTGATCAGTCTCCCTTACGGATTGCAGTGGTCAAGTGAACATTAGTTGTGATCTCCGGGTGTCAAAACAAAACAACAAAGTGTACAAAACATCAATTTTTAATCACGTTTGCAAAGCTTAACATCAGCTGAACAATAACATATTTGCTTAAAACTAAAAACTACATTAAGTAGTAGAAGGACAGTCTTGAAGATGAGTATAACTAAAACTAGGTAACGATCATGAGATCTGGATCACAGTAGTGGTGCTGCGCGGCTTACTGCGCATGCGCTACGGTGGGCTGCACTGGCATGGGCAGAAGTGGCGGTGATGGCAGCAGCCGTACTACGGGCGCGGGTGTTACGCGCTCTTTTGCGTGGCGTTTGACGTGTTTGGCGAGGTGATCGGAGCGCATGAAGCGGCGGTTGCACACGCGGCAGCCGAACTTTTTCTCGCCGGTGTGCGTGCGCTTGTGCCGCGATAGCTCATCGGACCGTGAAAAGCGCCGTTCGCAACCCGACCACGCGCACCGGAACGGGCGCTCGCCCGTGTGGGTACGGGCGTGGGCCTTGAGGTGGGATGACTTGAAGTAATTTTTGCCGCAGCCAGGGTATGAGCACTCGTAAAGACGTCGACGCGCCGGTTGTGCGGGCGCTACTAGCCACACTGCTGTGGTTGGAAGGAGCGTGCCGGGCACTATCACCGCGGGTGCTGGTCGCGGGGCCAGCGGTACCCACCCCGGGGTGGATGCCACAGGTGGCGCCTGTGGCACGCGCTGTTCGTCCCGATTAGCTTTCGGTTGGCAGTCAGCGTGAGGAGATGGCACACGAGCTTCTTCCACAGTCACAGGTATGAGGGCTGGGGTAATGCTGGGAGCCTCCGCAGGCGGTGGACTTTGTGTTTGGCTGGCCATATATTTAACTTGAGAGTAGCTGCGGTTCATTTTAAATTTGAGCGTTTTCAGGATGTTCATATTCATATCCTTGGGTGGCGGCGGCAGAAGTGGCTCCGGGCTGCAGGTGCCGTCCTTGTGGGCACGCATGATGACGGAAGGCCGGCCGCAGGGCTCCGGCGGGGGAGTGGCCAGTAGCAGTCGCGCCAGCTCGCACCGGGCCCTTTTATTGCATTCCTCCTCACCCTCAGAGTCTGATGGCTGAGGAGTGACTAGTCCCGGGGGCGGTGGCGACGCCAGAGCGCGCTTCACCGCAGCCTTCTTCAACGGCAGCTCAATCTGTGAGACAAAGACAAACACACGTAAGTGAACGGTCGCTACTTGCTGCCTCGGCGAGCACGCACGCGCTGCGTGATCGCGCCGCGCGCTCTTGCCATACTTTCGATTGCACAAACGGCATACTTTTTTACTTATTACTTTTGTATTTTTTTTTTCAATGCAAGAAAGTTTAAGATTTTTTCAAAAATAATTTGTCACGGAAAACACGAACTTTTCAAAACACTCACTTTATTTTCCATCAATGGAGGAGTTGACGGCGGCGACAGGGGTCCGCAAACTTCGAGTAGCGTAGACATTCTGACCAAAAAAAGACCATTCAACAGAGTCAAAGTTTCTTTTTTAATTCACAAAACTTATGTTTACGGTCTGCGCTTCGCTCTAGAGAGACGTTTAGTCCGGGCAATGAGCGACAGACGAATAAATCGCTCTGTGAGGGATCGCAGCGCGATGTGGCGGCAGGCGCGGGGCGCGGGCGGGGGCGGCCAATGGCGCGCGGCGGCGCGGCCGCAGCGGCCAATGGCAGCACAGTGATCACGCAGCCGGCGCGTGCCCGCGCGTGCTGTTCACGTGCACGCCGAGTGACGGCGGCCGAGGTCGCGCCGTGACGTCACCGGCGCGCCCCCGCATGACGTCGCGCCATGGAGCGGGGGCGGCGGGCGCGGGACGCAAGGTCGCCACTGGCACCGTGCTTGCCGCGCCGTAGCCGGCAATCGATGACACTTCTTGCATCTCGGAGCTTCATGTGTGTCAATGACCGCTATCACTAATAACGCGTTCTAAACGCCTCACACAATGCATTCAAACCTGTTGCGTGACTCACGGGGAAAGGGAAATTATTGACTACGTTTTCGCCAAGATCTGGTAGGATCTAGATTCATATGATAACACTGCGCGCACAGTTTCCCACAAAATATATTTGGGTAGCGATTAGATAGTACGAAGGTAAAGCAGCAGTCACGTGAGGCTTCAATCAATTATATTTCTATATTTACTTTTTTTTACTACTCGAGTAACAGACAAAAAAATTCCAATGTTTACAACGCGTATGTAGGTATAGTTAAATTTAATTTTCTGTTATTGTTATTCGGATTCGGCAATGAGAAAAACACTTGCGACTAGTTGCTCCTTTATATAAGTAATTTTCCGTATCGACCTGTTTCTAATTGTAGGTCATTTATCGTTTTCCTTCTTTACAATTTTTATAAATATTTTAATACAAGGAAAATCGAACAAGACTTAAACAATTCTGAACTCTAAACATAGATCGAACGAATGATATCGAAAAATTGAGCAGAGAAATTATTTTTTTAAAAAAGGGCTTTATTCCACATGCAAAAACCACATAAACCACAATCAATTATTGAAAATAACAAAAATAGTGAAAAAAAATTGCAAAATTGTAATTCGAATCAGGGCTCACACTTTTGAGTTTCTCACAATTTATGTGCGAAACGTTGAAAGCGAAATTGACCTTTTCGGTGAAGAAGAACATCGTGATGGAACCTGCACGTCGAAGAAGGTTCACAACTTTCGGAAAACGAGTGACGTTCCTAACCCGCATTGGACTTAAACCCTCGCCTGGGATATGACCCGTGTCCAGCAGTGGGACGTGTAAATGAATAAGTGAAACATATTACTTTCCGTGCCAATTGAAGTTTTCTAGAAGTTTTCGATACCTTTTACTGAAAAAATTGCGGGAAACTTGTTTTACAGATTTGGAATTTGAAAAATAGATTTTTTTCAAATATCACAGACTGATATCGAAGATGTTAATATTACAATAACTATCTCGTCAATTAAACCGTGATAGTGTAATGGTTTAATCTAAGCTTGCACCTTTCAGTTTTTCGGAGTTTACTTGTGAAATTTAAGTTGAAATTTACCATGAGTTTTTCGATAACCTTATTAATTTAACCTGCGAAAATTGTTACCTACATCTTTATTAATTGAATGTACAGTACTTGTAATCGTACCTTGCAAGATTTTTTACATTTTTATTAATTTATTCTGCACAATATGTCACGTCTTTGTTACACCCTCGGATTAAAAAACAATACGGTTACACTTCTAAATTAGCAAATACAAACTTCGTCTTAGGAAAAGTTTTGATATGCCTATGTCACTTGGTGGACATTTTGTACATTAACTTGATTCAATTGACGCCGCGTAGTGTATTTATATAGCACTACAAATGTTTAATATAAAGTTTTCCTAAGTAACATCGCATCAAGTGAACGGTATCGCGACCGTTACAAAGAGAAGCACAAGAGTTGCGCAGGCGCAGCGCATCCGTGAAAGTGAGGGGGGTTGAGCACGCAGCGAGTGAGTGACCGGCTACGGTCTAAGTTGGGAGAGGATACGGGAAACATTGTATATATTGATGATTTTTCTAAATCTAAGTGAGCATTTGACTTCAAACTCACCTAATGGAAAGTGACGATGAAGTCGACGATGGTGCATGCACACCTAAATAATGCCTATTCACTCTCGCCTTGAAAAGGTCCAAGTTGTAATGTTTAGGGAACAAGTCTGCAGGCAGGGAATTCCACTCCATAGCCGTTCGCCATAGAAATGTGTAAATGTGGAAGCGAAACTTGGAATATCCACCAGCGAATTCTTGGAATATCCACAACATAGGGGTGGAACCCCAGCCTAAGCCTGGTCCCCTGATGGAAAGGGGAAGGCGGAATTAATTCGTGCAATTCCCTCGCACTCTCCGTGATATATCCTGTAGAATACCTATAAGCAGGCACCTTATACGGCGGTGTTCAAGACTGTACAGCTTCGCCTTTACTAATTTCGAGTCACCTATAGGCCTCTTGACACGCTTGTCAATTGAATACAAGGTGGCCAGTTGGTATGTAACAGAGCCATCCCATAGGTGGCAGCAGTACTCCATACACGACCGGACTTATGCTTGGTACAGTTGAAGCAACTGTCCTGGTGTGAAGTGTTGTCCCTATCTACCGACCCGAGAGATAGTGTTTTCCGGAGAGACTTTGGGCTCGACGGGTGATACGCCTTTGCGGACCTGGGTATGGACTCGCTGGGGTTTGTGGTTAGCTGCAGAGACGGACATGTTTGTCTGCCCCGGTTGCATGTGTCCGGGGCGTCTTTCTAGTGAGCAGCTAGCGGTCTAGTTGAGGACCTGAGGCGAGGAGACGCGCGGGGCACGTGAGTTGCTCTTTAAGTTGAAAACCATATCCGGACATCGTCGCAGGACACTGCGACTGGCATCTCCGGCACTAGCCCGGAGAGCTAGTAGAGGATAAGCTAGATATCCTCCGGTCCCTCCAGCCGCTGAGGTTATTGGGAACTGGAGAGACGTCTTTTTTTTTTTCGGCATCGGGAAGTGAGCGTGGCTTACAGCTCCGGTACCTACCTGGAAAATAGGGAGGGTACTATACGTGCACCGGGGCGGCACTAGCCACTCGAAGAACCGGATAAAGTAAAGTGACAGAGGTCTATGACAACCCTGTACACTGGCTGATCTGGGGTCAGAACCTGAACTTGTAAGATTCCTGTGCGCGCACAGGTCATAGTGCCCTTCTCGTATGTCCTAAGGGTAGGTAGGGAGGGTCACTATAATCAAAAGTGACGTAGAAAGATATGGAGCTTGTCCTGGTGTGAAGTAATGCCTCGCCCTGGAAAGGATGCCGAGCTTTTTGGCTGCATTTTTGGCCATGGATTGTATGTATCTGCTAATGTCTTTAATAGAGAATGATGTAATGTATCAATACCAATTACCTGGTCTCAAACAGGAGATTTCCCTGTACTATGACTACCACGGAATTCCAACAACAGAACCAATTTAGAAAGTTGATAATTTTCCAAATTGGTCCTAACTGGTGTTGAACCCGGGACCTACTCGTCTAGCATCTATAGTGCAATCCTGAACGATCTTCCTCCTGAAATATTTCCTTTGCGCTATGATACGGGATTCTTCAAAAAGCGTAAAAACCATATAACTGGTATGACTCAATACTGGCGAGTTCGTCTCTAAAAAGATATCAAAATTTTACATACTAAAAAATTAAGCTACACGTTAGAGCGCGTTCCCATTATGTCATAACGTTTTATTTATATTTTATTTATAATGTCAGCATTACTGTGTTCTGATTTTGAAGGGTTAGGGTGCTGGTGAAGCTACAGGCACATGGGACTTGTCAACTTATGTCTCAAGGTGTCAGACGCAGTGGCAGTGCCCCTCAGACCTTTGCGACTTAAAGCTCTGAGTGTAACTGCAACTGTTATGGACAGGCGTGTAGCTTACCATCAGGCGCGATGACACAGAAATTGATGAAACAGATTTTCGTGGCTAGATCCGACAAAGTTATAGTACAAGACCATTCTCATCTTTTCTGTAGCAGACACGACGAATTCGATTCTTAACGTGTACATGCGCCCTTACACTGTCTCAGTCAGCTATGTGGTCATGGCCTGTGGTGGCATGTGGCCGTGACCAAAAACAAATATTCACGATTTAGATTTCAAGAAATTGATTAATTTTTAATATGTGAATAATAATCGATTCCCGGGTAGTAAAAAATATTTGTATGGTCTACGTATTTCTCTCGTAAGTTTGGGTGTAATTTGTAATTGTGTGTCCATGTCACGGCTATGAGTGAATGCGTTATTATTATTTAGTTGCAAATGGTTTCTCTCCTCGATTTCGGGTATTAATGGTTTTTAACCCGATTTAAATTTATCTTTGAAGAGAGGTGATTGCTGCCCGTTCTACACTTGCGCCATACACCAATCTCGTAGTGGGCCCAAGCGTTGTTTAAAAACAAACCGAACGGACGTGTGCGCAGTTGAGTCATTCATTACCGACGATTATTATTCTAAAGCTCTTGAAACTGAGTAACTGACAACTCATGTGGATTTGTAGAACAATATTGTCACCCAAATGAATATTATAAATGCAAAAGTAACTCCTTGGGTTTTCGCGTAATCAATTTTGATGAGTTTTGTATAGATAGTCGGGACTAGGGAGAATGATATGGAGTACTGTTGTATGATATGTGTCACAAAAATAAAACTTAAAGGGGGTGAAATGGGTTATGAAACTTTTTACGGAAGACCAATTCTCAAGTAAGTAGTAGGTTATTCGAAGTACATATTCTCCTTGGAATAGATCATGGGAGACAGCTAGTTGGAAATAAAAGTATTATTTAAGCTAAATCGTGTAGAAGACAATCCATTTAGAGACAATAATTTAAGAACAAATAATATACATATTATGTCCACTTGCACTAAACTTAAGTATGTCTTAAACCCATGCTTAAATTGATAAGACACTCTTAACACAATGTATTAAGAGTGTCTTTTGCATTGCAATTATTAGTTTAAGACGTACTTAGGTTTAGTGCAAGTGGACATTAATCTCAGTAAGGCACTAAAAGACCGAC